CCTCTTGGCCCGGCAGCACGCAGCAGAGGGAGCTGCCCCACCCCCTCCCCGCGCCCCCCCTGCTTGCTGGACAGCGCCTGTCCCAGCCCCAATCCCTGCCTCGCTGCAGGGATGTTGATATGCCCCCCTCACCCCACCACAACAGACTTACCAGCTGGAGGCAGCTGTGTCCAGCATCATAAAGTCAAAACCCCATCAGAACCTCGAAACAGTGTCATAATTTACAAAGGTCGTAAATGCTGTTTGTCTTTAACTCGAATAGTCATAAGTTGAGAACTGCCTGTAGTGTGTTAGCTGCTGTATGGATACAATACTATAGTTGCCATGGCTTGCAGTCCTACTCTAATTTCATTTAAAAGAAAACAGTCTTGCTAATACATGTTCAAACATTTTTATTTGTAAAGTGCAAAAGAGGCAGAGAATCTGAGTAGCAAACTGGTTTTTTATATTCCAAGACAGACCAGAGGGCTTAGTTTTGATGTTCAGGTTCTAATTTTATTCCCCTCCTTGATGATGTAGTCCATAGAAGAGACAGGGCAGTACTGTGTGGAACAAGGACTACCCTTCCCGAAAATAATACTGACTGAAGAAGACAAGAAGAATCCAAAGGAGTGCTATGTGTTTGTGGATGATGAGAATCCAGAGGTTCCCATTGTGCTTTTCTTCCCGTTGGCGAACAACACTTTTAAAGAGTACAAGGCACCTGGTGAGTGACTGACTTTCCACAGGTACTTATCATATTTCATTTCAGCCTGACATCCCATAATAGGGTTTGTAGGTAATTACTATAGCTCAGAATCATGGCCCCATGCCAAAAAATAAAACAAAAACCCATGGTTGACAGAAGGTGTAAATACATTCTGTGGTGTAACACAATTTTTATCTCATCTTCATCAATGGAAGCTTGCTTAAGTGTTGATTTAACAGGCATTGGTATGATCTGTAGGGTTGTGTGAAGCTTTGGTCCCTAATTCAATTTTGCGGCGATTCTGCCCAATTCGGTGACTGAATTTCCGAATCCGAAATGAATCAGAAAGATTTGGAAAGATTCGGTGATTCGGACATAGACACAGCTTTAAATGTTTTTTCTACATACCTCAAGGTACCAGGCAGCTTGTCAATGCTGTGATGCTGGGGCGGATGGAGCGTCCCACAGAAGTGCAGGGAGCTCCGCAGCGTACTCGGCAGCAGACCCGGAAGTGGACTAGAAGCACGTCCAGTCTGGACCTGGAAGTGGACTGGAAGTACTTCTGGTTCACTTTCAGGTTTGCTGCTGAGCACACGGGTTATGTACCTGGTACCTTGAGGTATGTAGAAAAAACATTTAAAGCTGTGTCTATGGCCAAATCACTGATTCTCCAAATCAGCATCAAATCTTCAGATTTGGATTCAGCTGAATTGAATCAGGGACAGTGATCCAAATCAACGAATTGAATCACTGTCCTTGATTTGGGCCAAATCTGAATCGAATATGGCCTGTTTCACACACCTCTAATGATCAGATGTGTTGCATATGTACTACAAGCCTCAGTTTTTCTCTAGTTTGATGATTTCAGCATCAAACATTATGTGAAAGAAACAGTTTTTATGGGACAAAACTGTTCGCAATGTAAGCAGCAGTCGGATCTTTCTAAATCTTGCTGGTAAAATAAGCTTGTGCTTTGTTGCAAGAAAAATCCTTGATTTTTGGGCTGGTTACAACAAAAGCCCTTGATTTTTGTCTGCGTTGTGGTGAAAAAGCTGCTAATGCTGTTTTCATTGCCCTACAAGTTGCTAGCAGTGCTCTTTGATGTCCTCTCGCTGCTTCTGATGCTGAGTGAATGATTTTAAATGGTGTTGGGGTGGTGGTTTCACAGCAAGGGCTCACAGAATGCTGTGAAGTCAGTTGAGCTTGCTCCAAAGAGCCTCTTCTAACAGTCAGGGCTAAAGCAGAAGCATATTTGTTTTACTTCATGATGTTCCAGTGGAGGAAAGTCATGCCCTGAGTGCTTAGGTAACAGCATGAAAGGATGGGAGGGGGCCTTGTGACAGTCATATACCTTAATTCAACTTCCCATCTTCTGGCAACCTCTAGGCTGAGGTCCTGATATTTTATTGTTGTTGTTGCAGGAGTGAAACGCAGCCCGGCAGAGATGGAAAAAGGTGATATAGATTTTGTCAGGTCCACGTCCCCTTATAAACTGGAAAATCTGACCTATAGCAAGGAGGACTTTGACAAACTGCTAATGGTCACTGAGTACAATGTCCAAAATAACAAGGACTTGATGCTGCAAGCTTTCCACAAAGCTGTAGAAAGGAGAAAACATCAACAGAGTTAATTCACCTTGGTGGAATTTCTGGATTAATATCAATTTTCACTCTGGCCTCTGTGTAAATCTTGGTAATGCTTAAAGATATTGCTTCTGCAGTAATTTTCTGCAGATTTTGCTTCCAGTAATGAACCAGTAGGCTGAGGACGTACACTAATATATGCATAGCAGAAGTAGGTAGGCCACAGGCCTAAATACAGCTTAAGTAGGTGACAGCAAGTGTCCGTAAATCAGATAATTTATCCGTAAGTGATTAACAAATACCTGTCAGATGACTTGTATAAAGTAAAAAACCATAAACATGGGTCATGAATATTCTAAGGCAGGGCTGTCCAAATGATGGTTCATGAGTTCATGGCCTGTGGGCTCCTGTCACTTTTTCTTCCCCCCAGCAATTGCCATCTCCCTAAATCACCTGCTCCTGCTGCTGCTGTTGTCGCCACCTTCCTTCTGGGCTGCCACTTCCTGCTGTTGCCTCTGTGGGTGGTGCAGCTTGTAGCCACTTAGAAGTTGGATGGCCCCATCGTGTAGTTTCAGACAATACATATATAGTTGCAATGCATAATGCAATTGTAATTGAATGCCTTAAATGCTAATGTTTAACTAAGATGGATCACTAACCTGCCAGAATTGGAGACCCCAAAAGAAATAGACACTGAAATCTAAGGCAACAGGGAAATTTTCCCAGTATAATTATTCATAAGCCAAATAGATGTTATGATAATTTAGTGTCAGTAATGCTCCATGAAATAGTGCCATGGGGAGAGAAGTAAAACAGTACCATGGCCTTCTCTTAGTCTGTGAAACACCAACCTCTTCCAGGCATCCCTCATAGGATTCTATATGTAATGGGAATGCTAGTTGGTTCTGTTCTGCTTCTCTGTCCCTTGCATAATTACAGTTGTCATGCTACATTTGGCCTTATTAATAAATGTGTGATCTCACTTGTGCAACTCAATATGCCCTACCTACTGACAACATACTTACTGAAGCAGCTAATCTGGAGTGCTGATCACTACATGCTAAACTCTAGTTAATGGAAACCTAATTGGTACAAGTAATTCAAACCAGGGTTTAGGTTACAAAGTACAAGGGCCTACATTTTCTGCCAGCACCCAGATGACAGGGGCCACTGTGATTTGTCCAGCTTTGAACAATCTAATAGAATATTTTTGGTTGCTGTTTATATTACAAACGTTGCTTTCCTATTTAATATATTCTAATTTTAAAATTTATTTTATTAAAAGAGGATCATTTTACAGAATTGTAGAGTGGGCAGGACTGTGACCTCTGATTGATTGGTTCCTGGTTCTTTTGAAAGGCAGTGTTGTCTAGAGCAGTGTTTCTCAAGCCATGGGTCATGACCCAAAAATGGGTCGCAAGAATATTTGAAAGGAACATGAACCACAGAAAAAATGTGGGAAAGCACAGGTTTCCCCTTGCAGCCTGGCAGATTTCCAGCCTGCCAGGGGCAGCTTGGGGCTGGAGGGAGTGGAAAGAAGGCAATCAGGCAGGGGGTGCAACATGCATGTGTGTGTGCATACATGCACGTGGCAGCTAGGCAGGGTGGAGAGCAGCTCCCGCAGTTCCCCTCAGGTAAGTCTATGGGATGGGGGGGGCATAGATGATGAATCAGCAATTGGGAGGGCACAGGCTACATGTCGGGGGTAGGGGGCATATACCAACCCACATTTATGTACCCATAGTGGGCACAGGGCTGCCGCCTGGCCCAGTATGGGTAGGAGCTGCCTGCTGCTGCCACTGCCATGTATCCCACACCAACTGCAAAGCCAGCAGCACGAGGAGGAACGGATGCGGGGGACCACACTGTCCTCACCTCCTGCTGCCAACTGCTCATATGCTGGGCTGTGGCTCTACCCCACTGCCAGGGCCTGGCTGCCACCACCACCACTCCCCTTGGAGTAGACCCATGGCTTGAGGGGAGCAGCAGTGGCCAGGCCATGGTGCGAGCTAGAGCCACAGCCCAGAATGCAAGCAGTTCGCGGCAGGAGGAAGTGAGTGCATCATGGACCACCCCCATCCATTACTCTTGGTGCTGCTGGTATCATGGTTGGTGTGGGGTTCATGGCAGTGGCAGCTGCAGCAATGAGTCTCATTGCCCCACTCTACCCTCCTGCACCTGGACCCACCCTCTGGGCCATGGACTTGGCTGCTGCTGATGGTGGTCCAGCCAGGCTGCAGCCCTGTGTCTGCTGTGGGCTCACAAATCTGGGGGGTCATGTGCTCCCCCATGCCACACATCCACCCCCAGCCCCACACACTGGGGGTGGGGGGCAGTGGGTTGGGAGTGAGGGACAGCAGCAGGGCTGGGGGTTGGGGGGCTGTTAGTTGGGAGCAGGGGCATCGGCAGGGCCAGAGGGCTGTGGCTTGGGAGTGAGGGACACCAGCAGGGCCAGGAGACTGTTTCCTAGTTAAATTATTTACTGGCTCAGGACTGGCCATCGATGTTTATAAATGGGTCCTGGTACAAAAAAGGTTGAGAACCACTGGTCTGGAGGCAATAACACAGTGCTGGGACTAAAGAGTTCTAATAAACTCAAATCTGCCAGTCACTCATTGTCTGAATGTAGGCAAATTGCTTTATCTCCCTGTCTCTTTTTTTAATCAGGGCAATAGGGATATTAATGCTTACCTACTTTGCAGGGCTATTGTGAGGAAGAATTGAACATCTGTGCAGTGCTATGAATAAGTAAATTGTTGCAAAAATCTTAATAATAATTATTGTGATGCTACCAGCTCTCAGAATGATGGCTTAGCTGGCTAGATCAGTGATTCTCAACCAGGGTACTTCAGCATCCTTTAAAGGGTGTCATGGGATGCTACACAATATTAGGTGTGCAAACACCTACACATGATTCTTGAGATTGTGATGGGCTGGCTGGCAGTGACCTAGCCCAGGGGTTTTGAAAGGGCAGAAGATGATTGGAGAACTTGGGATTCCCTTTCCGCATCAATCTGGTAATGATTTGGCCCAGGGGTTTTGAAGGGGTAAAAGATAATTGGAGGACTTGGGATTCCCTTTCCTCACCAATCAGGCCCCAGAGACTCACCCTCCATGTCCCCTGATTGACCCCTTGGGTCACCTGGAGGGGGATAAAAGGGGCAGCACGGCTGACTCAGGGAAGAGACCAGCGAGGGACCACAAGGAAGGAGCTTCAAAGAGCTGGGCCAGTGGGGCAGGAGCAGTTGCCCCAGAAGAGCCTGAAGAAGCAGGACCTGCAGGCAGCAGTGGGACCCTCAGCAGCATGGCATGTGGCCGGCAGGAGAGGCTTCCTGCTGGGCTCCAGGATCCCCTATGAGAGTCTGTGGCCAGCAGGAGAGGCTTCCCGCTTCAGCAAGGATCTGAGCAGTGACCTGAGGGGTTCCCAGCTCTGCTTCCAGCTCCTCCAATCAGAGGCCAGGCAGCTTGACGTGAGGCCGGGCTCCAGGAAGGTCAAGACCCCTAGCAGGTTGGAGCAGTCCTGGTGCTGGTGGCTGTGTGGCTGTGTTCCTGCCTACCATGTGGGAGATCCAAGTTCTAGCTTTGATGACTTGGGGTGAGTGAGCTAACAAGGAGAAATTCCTCTTGCAGGGAAAGGGGCCATTGTGTTTTCCGCCATTGTGTTTTCCCCCTTTCTCCCCTTCAAAGGTACCTAGGCCCTATATTTCTTTGTCCTTTGACATTTTGTATTTGGTGCTTTTTTATATTTCCGCAACCGGTATTGTTTGCTCTGCTGTTTGTGTTTTATATTTTGTAACCCTGTCTTTTGTCAATGATTGTAAGTGTCTAACCTTTGTTCAATCTTGCCCCCTTGGGGCATTGTAGTGTCCACTATACCCCCTGATTATGCCTGTTATGTTCCCAGTATTGTTCCCTCATTAAAAGGTATATGGTTACGTCCCCAGTGGTGGTCTGGCTCTGCTCTATAGGGGGAGGAGAGCACCTACACCTCCCACAGTGCTTGTGCACCTGCTTTGATCCCTTCAGTTGGAGAGGGGGTACCTTTTGGAGTACCGCCCTGGTTACAAGATAAACCCAGGGATTTCAAATAGGAATGTATAGTGTGAAAAGCATTGTGACCTGTTGTGGGCTTTCTGAGTTCTTTGCAACAGAATTGATCTATTATATTTCTGTAGTCAGTAGGTTGAGTCTTACACAGGGTGCCTGGTACCTCGAGTTTAAAAAGCTTGAGAATCACTCAGATATTTCCTCAAACATTATTATATAAAAAAAAATACATATCATTCTCCATTGCCAGAATATCTGAGGCTCCATTCACATAATTAGAAAGATGGAATAAACTTTGAAACAGGGAGCCCGGAAGAATGCCTCGGCCATGCTTTCTCATTAATTTGCCTGGGCTCTTCCCAGGCTACTACAAAGTCCACAGGGCTCTTGTCAGTCAGTGTGCAAATTGGGACAGTCCCTTGACATGGATGAATGCATCTTGTAAGACTGGTGGTTTATAGGATGTGGCACGTTTCTTTGGTAGACAGCGTTAAGAAGCAAATTTTGGAGTTGAGGGCTTACTGCCAAGAAGCATGCTATTTGTTAGTAAAAAAAAATCTTTAACTATAGCTGAGTAAAATATATTGAGCACAAGATGGCAGCAGAACCTAAGATCTGAGAGTGGATCTATATTGAACTTTATTATCATCTGTGCTGTTTTAACCTCCATTATCTGCTATAAATTCTACACTTTCCGTTTCAAACAGGTGGACAGATTGACTGCTCATTAGGGCTAAGTACAGATAGTCAGAAAGCCCGAGGCTGAATCAATTCAATCTTTACAGGTTTCTCTAAAGAGCACAGATTGACCCAATAAGTAAGTGAGCTGATGTTTGCTTTTCAAATCAGAAAGGTAGCCAGACCCCTGCAGGGGCCCGTACTAGTAGCCGGGGGGTGCTAAGGCAGGTTGCCCAGCCTGCCAGCCACTGCCGAGAGCCTGGAGCCAGGTGATTCCCCAGCCACATCCTCCCCTCAGCCTCAGGCCAGCTGAGGAGTGGACATGGGGAGAAACCTTCCTCCACCCTGCCGGCACTGGGCCCCCAGCACAGGAGAAGGGGAGAGGGGGGAAGCCCCGAGAGGAGTGTTTCTCCCTCTCTCCGCTGCGCCCAGAGCCAAGAGCCAGACAAGTCCCCTAGCCATGCCCCCTCCTCAGCCCGGGAAACCCCCCCACTGGACCAGTAGCTGGGTCTCCCCAGCATGGGGGAAGGGAAGGGGGAGAAGCCCACAGTGGGGCATTTTCCCCTCTCTCCCCACCTGAGCTGGGAGCTGGGAGCCAGGAGCCGGGAGCCAGGCTGTTCACCCAACCATGCCCCTTCTTGGGCCAGCAGGCTAGCTGAGGGAGGGAGTGGTCCACTCCCTCCCTCCTCCACCCAGCAGTGGACCCCCAGCTGGGCTTTGCCTGGCACAGGCAGGGGGGAAGCCTGAAGTGAGGGTTTACTCCCCCTGACCAAGCTGCAAGCCAGGAGCTGGGCTGATCACCTGGCCATAGATTCATAGATGCTAGGGTTGGAAGGGACCTCAATAGATAATTGTGTCCGACCCCCTCCTTGTCATGTCCCCGCCATGTCCCCTCCTTGGCCAGCATGCTGGCTGAGGAGGGAGTGGGGGGAAAAATGCGCCACCCCCCCGCCCGGCTCTGGACCCCTTCTGAGCTGTGCCATCCACAGTGGGGGCTTTCCTTCCCCTGCCTTAGCTGGGAGCCAGACCGATTCCCCTGTCCGAGGAGGGGGTAGGGCCAGGGCCAGGGCCAGGGCCAAGGCCAGGGGAATCAGCCTGGCTCCTGGCTAAGGCAGGGGGAGGAAAGCCCCCAGTGATGGCTGAGGGCAGGGCCAGCCTTGCTCCGCTGGAGCAGAGAGCACAGCACAGGGCTGCACAGCATCCTGGGATGCTGGAGGACTGAGAGTTAACTTGAATCAAGATAGCTGAACTTCCATGTTCTACGCTAGTGGTGCTCGCTCTTCTGGCCCCATGTGCTGAATGAGTGGTATAGGACCAGTCCCTTTCTGAAAACTGTTTATATTGAAGATGGGTGAATAATTTTGCTATAAATAATTTCTCAAGAAACTTTTCTCTTTCTGTAGAATTTATCAGTTATCTGCTTCAAGTTGCTCTATATATTTTATTTACTGGCTAGTGTTATTCTATAGATCAGTGGTGTCAAACCTATCTGGCCCTGTGGGCTGGGTGAGGGTCACTGGGCTGGGCTGTGTCCTGGACAAGGACTGACCTGCGTGCTGGACCAGCCTGCATGTTATATGCAGTATATGGTGTTGGTCCAGCGACCCATGGATCCAACTGGATCCAGCCCATGAGCGGTATGTTTGACACCCCTGCCATAGATCATATTACAACTAGTTCACTACTAGTATGTAGTACTTAATTCAATACAGTTGTGATTGGTCATGCCAATGACAGTATTTGTTTAACATTTAACACAGTTAAA